TTCAAACGATTTGATCTGTTAAAAGAAGGAGAACTCTGGCTTGGTGGTCTTGTTTCAATCATTATCATTGTTCTAATCATTTTTACATGTCGATTTAGTGATATGTTTCTCAATCTTTATCCTATTGAAACAACATCACATGATGCTCGAATGGCAGTTTCATGTGATTCTTCTTTATTCAATGCAAAATTTATAACATCACTTCAACTTCTTTCCATCCATAAACATGAACAAGAACAACCAATCTTTGATATTCTTGATCAACAACATATTACTCTTACTGTTCATTTTATTGGAACTGCTCATCCTTGTACAAGTGTAAGTATGCAACAAAATATGGATCGTGGACAAAGTATATCATCAACTGATTTTAATTGTTCATTTGATAATGAGAATTTTATTTTATCTGTTTCTACTTTATTACCACAACATCGTATTAGTGTAGAATTTAACTTGAAAGGACCTTATTTTGTTGGTGGATTTCGTCTTTGTCTCTCAGGTCCATCTAAGAGACGAGATGAAAACAAATATATTGTTCAAGAACTTGACTTTTGTCAAATGTTTTCTCCAGTCAATGAAACTCTAACTGTAAATGCACTAGTAAATATTAAAATGACAAAAACAATTAATCGAACTATGGGTATGTCAATGAATGATGATTTAATGTTTGGTGGTTTATGGTTACCTAAATTGTCAGTGACAACACTTTCGGATGCACTTGTTTACATAGAAAATGGTGAATATCTTCGATATTTGCCTGAAAGAACACGTCTTATTATTGATATGAGTGAATCAGACTTTTTTGTACAAAATACTCAAGAACCAATTGTTCGAAGAAACGAAATCATATTTCATACTGTTTTATTTTCGAGTAAGAATAGACTTTTTTATTTGTTGATGGAAGAAAGTTTAGTATTTATTTTCATTTTAGTGTTATGCTTGGGTCTATTTGGTTTGTTATTCCTTGTTGTCAAACTATTGATTGTTCCCCTTGTTAAATTCATTCAAGAACGTTACTTTGCTGGTGGAATGGGAAGTTCTGACAATGGTGAAGACTATGATATTATTGATAAAGTTGTTGAAGAAGAGGTCGAAAAAGCCATACGAAATCTGAAGCAAAGATATGATTCTTACATCACGGAGGAGATAACATATTTCTGAGCAAGGTTTTCGAAGTTTTCATGTAACGAATATGATGGGCGCCATTTTTACTTTGTTTTGGAAAGGTGTGGGTGCGGAGTGTGAATACGATGATATACTTCACTAACATCCACACCCTGACACAAACGAAAAATAGTTGGTTGAATAAAGTTCCCATGTATGCGAATCAAATAAGTAGTCTATTGAACTGATGAAAGAGTTGCAATATAAAGGAGATAAAAGTTTTACAAATACATTATTCTTTTGTGTAAAAATCGTCTTTATGACTTCTTAGTTTCTATATTGACTTGGCTCATTTTTTATTTCTACGACTTCTTCGATAAAGTTAGAAGAAGAAAAAGAAACAACACTATTTTATTATTGATCTAATAGAAAATATATAGTCACTTGAGTAATCTAATCTCGCAATCATCTATCAAAAAAAATGTTCGTAACAATTAAGTATATAGCAGACGACAGCAGAGATGACAAACAACAAGATCAGAAAACTTTTTTTTCTTTTACAGTTGTTTATTGGCAAAGAAGCATAAGCGCACTTATGTTTATGATCTTTCTTTTATCTGCTGTCGTCCAATTGACTTAAGGGCCCCCTTCAGAAAAGTCAATTTTGGTCAAATTTATCGATTTTATGATTTATAACTCATTCGATAGAGCTAAGTGTATACTCTCGAATGCACTATAGTTGATTGATTTTATCATGAGATTTAAGGATATTACATAGGTTTTTCCGAACCCCTATATTGAAAAAAATAAGGTTTTTAAAAACTTATTTTTCGTTTTTCTCAAAATCAGTTTTTTTGTCATGCAGTTTACGCGGGCAGGTTTTTCTCCATAACGATTTGGCATGGAAGTGATAATTTTTTTTTTATTATATAGGAGACATGTAGGGCTAGGACTTAACAGGCTCTGATTTTTAAATTTCTCTTTTGCTAAAATAAAAAACTTAAATAGTTCATTTCTATTAGCACCTCGAATTTGAATATTTTTCGAAAAACGTTTTTTAAAAATCAAATAAAGGGAAATTCAAAAATCGGATCCTGTTAAGTCCTAGCCCTAAGGGTACTCTACAACTTGGAAATCGCGCGAACTTGTTAGCTCGTATCTTTATTGTGAAATCCTTGCCCGCGTAAGGGGTAATGAATTGACTAGAACTTGTGCATTTCTTTGAGATTTGTGGGAGATATTTTAACCATAAGCTATTCTAGTCAAGACTAACATTCTCTGAAATTTTGGTTGAAATCGGATGAAAAATAACAATGTTAGTTTCTGAGAGGGTGGGAGGGGCCTTAAGTACAGATTATATTCAAGTGATATGTCGTGAAGAAAAGATTTTTTTCGTATGAAAATGTGTTTTTCGATGCCATGAGAAGCAATTATTTTATGTTAAGCTACTTTCTATTTCTTTAGTATTATAGATTAACAATTCATTATTAAAACATAATGAATTTCATCTATTTGATTTCGTTATTGATTATAATGAATTGTATTCTTATGTATTTGACACAACGACCTCCAACTAATTATCGTGAATATGATAGTTATGGACCACTTTTAGCAATGAATGAACATGTAGCGATATTTGCACAAAATGATAAAGCACGTTTTCTTCTTGTGAAAAAGCCGTATAATAGTTCTTCGATGTGGAATTGTACATTAGATTATGTCAGAATTAAACATTCTTCAACTTCGATGACTTATTTCGTATATAGTGTAGCTATTGGAGCGAAACAAAATAGTAGCCATCTTGCATTCGCTTTTATGGATGAGGACTTTTTGCGTCGCGTGTTTTTAACAGTCGTTTTCCTTGAAGACAGTTCCACAGACTGTCTGGTTCAAAATCGAAGTCTAGCATTAGATTTGACAGAATATCCAGTGTTCGAAGACTCTGTTGTTGCTATGGACCCATATGGGACACGAGCATATTCAATAGGAAACTTTAATGGTTCTTGTATTGACCTAGTAACGAAGGAAACTTGGGTATTCGATACAAGACTTGTATATGGTGAGTGGAACGGTAACATATTTGAGTATTACCCGAAGGCCATTACCATTAGCAAAGATCATCAGATTTTTCTCGTCGGTCAATTATATATGGGTATGATCAATGAATTTCATACCTATTTAGTCGTTTTGAATTTTCGCGAATTAAGAAATGCCACAAAATCGTTACATCTTGAAGTTTCAACATTCAATTACGGTGTAGGTGGAACAGATATCAATCGCGTGACAACAATGTCTATTGCGCTTGATGAATCATCACGAACTGTACTTGTTGGTATTCCTCGGATAGATACAGTTATTTTCTTAGCTTA